AACTGCTGGGTAGTTAACCTAAAATAAGGACAGACCCAGTTAAGGTGTCCTAAATACTGTTGTAATTGTACCAAGGTTAAAGGCTGAAGTAAGAGCAATTGGGGAAGAGTAGGGATAGATATGGCAGTAAGTAACTTTTTATCTAATTGTAATTGTTCTTGAGCTAGGGACTCCACCGTGAGTAATCTTTCTCTAGGAAGGGGCCATTGTTTAACCTATTCTGGCTCCCCAGGCACCCAGGTTAAAGGCAGCCCTGTGTGGGGATGGGTTGATTCAGTGGGTGTTCCTATAACATGAATACTAGCTTGAATTTGTGGTAATAAATCTTGACTCAAATAGGAAAGGGAATAAGATGAATATAAGGGCAAATGTGAACAACGAGGTGTTGGCCTCCAGGATCATGACAACCAAAACATTTTGTGTCAGGACCTTTAAGAGCAGCAGCCAACAGATTGTTTTTTGTTTTTGTGACAGGCAGAGTGGACAGTGAGAGAGAGAGAAACAGAGAGAAAGGCCTTCCTTTTTCCGTTGGTTTACCCCCCAGTGGCCACTGCAGCCGGCGCGCTGAGACCGGCGCACAGCGCAGATCCAAAGCCAGGAGCCAGGTGCTTCTCCTGGTCTCCCATGCGGGTGCAGGGCCCAAGCACTTAGGCCATCCTCCACTGCCTTCCCAGGCCACAGCAGAGAGCTGGACTGGAAGAGGAGCAACTGGGACAGAATCCGGCACCCTGATCGGGACTAGAACCCAGGGTGCCGGCGCCGCAGGCGGAGGATTAGCCTATTGAGCCACAGCACCGGCCAACAGATGGGTTTTATAAGTTTCAGGTTTATCAGTAACAGGCTTTAACACATCTTTACAATCCTGTTTAGCATTTTTAAAGGCCAATTGTGTTAACAAAACCTGAGTGGCTTAGTTTTCTACTTGTCACCCAATAGCTTTTTGTAATTTTTCAATGAAGAACATATAATTTTCGGTAGGCCTTTGTCTTTCTGTGGAGAAAGAGGTGGATGGACCACAGACATCAGGTATCTTTTTCCAGGCTTTTAAAACCATATTCGAAATCTGAGTATTTGCTTCTCTTAGGGGATAATTAACTTGTTGATTGGGATTAGTAAAAGCTCCTTCTCCAAATAATTGATCTGTTCTAATAGGTATATTATGAATCAAATTATCCATGGCTTGGGCATTAGTAAGATTTTGATACTCTTATGCCCACACCATATACTGTGCTGCAGTTACAAGCACCTTTATTAAAGTTTGCCAAGCCCAGGGCACCATCTCCTAACTTTCTCCAATAAATAGTCTCTAACAATCCCATAGTATAAGAACTTTACATGCCATAATCAGTGAGGCTCTATTTTACTTTTTAAAACATATTATAAGGTAGAGAATCATGCCTGTCTGGGGCATTCTGTGGTCTTATAATAGGACAAACATCTGATAAGGGGTCCCCTTGCTCTCGGGCTTCTTCTAACATGCCTAGTGGGGCAGATTGGGCAGGAGGCTCATGGTAAGAGCCCCATGGAAAGAGCGACAACAGGACTAACTTTTTCTTCATCAGCAGCCTTAAGAGCTGAGGGACAAATCTCCTCTGGCAAAGTTGGAATAGCTGGGTGGCTCTCCTGGCCAGGGAGAGCCTCCAACAGGCTCACAACGTGGCTGAATGCATCCAGCTGCAATACCATGCCTGAAGCACAAAGATGGGAGCCTATGGCACTTCATGTAATTCTTCTCCTATTTTTTCCCAATCCATCACCTTCAAGGTACCTTCATCAGGATACCAAGGGCAACATCTATTTCCTGAAGTAATTGTCCAATGATGTTTTCAGGGATGGAGTGTCCTGCCTGTTTTAGCAAATAATACAATTCTTTCTTATGCTTTTGTTGCACCCGGGGGAGGGAATTCCCCATGTTAATGACTCGCCAGGATCTCAGAGATTAATGAGATGAGCTACACATCTGTAATCCTTGCCAGGTGTGGTGATCCATCCCTTTCATGCTGTGCCAAGGGTGACTATTCGGGCACCAGTTATGGAGAGAGAAATGGAGAGAAAGAACACGGGAGCATCCATTCTAAGAGCACACCTCTGGATAGCTATGTGCTCCCATTTTTATATAGAGTGTACCAGCAAGTCTACAGGTCATCGGCCATGTAGGCAAGGTTATACATCAACTTAAAGATTTGGGAAAAGGAATTCGGTCTGGTGGTCTAACAGGGATTACAGTTGTGTTGTAAATCTTCAGAGACAGGCCTAGTTAGATGCTCGTGCAAGTTTACAAATTCCCAAAAATATTCCAGGTACCAATTCATGTTCATTAGCCCCCTGCTGCTCCCACTGCCACATTCCTTTGGGGTTGGTGTGCCCATCCCCAGCCTGGTTTGGCATGAACAGAAACTGCATCTGTGCCTCTATTTTCAGGGGGGTATACGCCCTGAAAGGCACTTGTGTAGCATCTCTACAATGCTGGCAAGGATGTGGGGCAAAAGGTACCCTAATCCACTGTTGTTGGGATTGTAAACTGGTACAGTTTTTGTGGAAGACATTATGGAGATACCTCAAAAATCTGAAAATATATCAACCTAGCAATCCCACTCTGGGAAATTTACTCAAACCAAAATGCAATCAGCATATGAAAGAGTGATGTACACCCCCCTGTTCATTATACTCAATTCACAATAGCTAAGATATGAATCAACCCAATTGTCCATCAACTGATGACTGGATAAAGAAATTCTGGTGTATATACACTATGGAATCCTCAGCAATAAAAAAAAAAATGAAATCCTACCTTTAGCAACACATTGGATGCAACTGGAAACTATTATATTAGTGAAGCCAGTCTCAAAAAAAACAGATATCATATGTTTTACCTGATCTGTGTTATCTAATAGAGTACCTAAAATGTACTGGAGTGAAATGGACATTTTGAGATTCAGTGATTGTTTAGTCCTGCCTCACCTGTTGAGAAATAATTTTTTTGTTCATACTATTTGTTGAACTCTTTACTTAGTGTTGGGTTAATCTTTTATGAGTATAAAGTAATAAAATAAAATAGATAAATATAATAGATCTTTGTAAAAATTAAGAGTAGAAATAGGAGAGTGAGGAAAAAGAGGTGGGAGCATAGGCTGTAGGGAAGGTAGGATGAGAAGGATCATGTTCTTAAATCTGTATTCATGAAATACAGGAAATTTGTATACATTAAATAAAAAATTTTTTTTGACAGGCAGAGTGGACAGTGAGAGAGAGAGACAGAGAGAAAGGTCTTCCTTTGCCTTTGGTTCACCCTCCAATGGCCGCCGCGGCCGGTGCGCTGCGGCCGGCGCACCACGCTGATCCGATGGCAGGAGCCAGGTACTTACCCGGCGCACCGCGCTGATCCGATGGCAGGAGCCAGGTACTTCTCCTGGTCTCCCATGGGGTGCAGGGCCCAAGCACTTGGGCCATCTTCCACTGCACTCCCTGGCCACAGCAGAGAGCTGGCCTGGAAGAGGGGCAACCGGGACAGAATCCAGCACCCCGACCGGGACTAGAACCCGGTGTGCCGGCACCGCAAGGCGGAGGATTAGCCTAGTGAGCCGTGGCGCCGGCCCATTAAATAAAATTTTAAAGATAGAAATAGAGGAGCCACCACTGTGGTGTGGCGGGTAAAGCCGCCGCCTGCAGTGCCAGCATCCCATATGGGCACTGGTTCAAGTCCCAGCTGCTCCACTTCCAATCCAGCTTCCTGGTAATGTGCCCGGGAAAGCAGTGAAGATGGCCCAAATCCTTGAGCCCTTGCACCTGCGTGGGAGACCTGGAAGAAGCTCCTGGCTCCTGGCTTTGGATCAGCATAGCTCCAGCCTTTGCAGACAATTGGGGAATGAACCAGCAGACAGAAGACCTCTCTCTACCTCTCCTTCTCTCTGTTAGTAACTCTGACTTTCAGATGAATAAATAAATCTTTAAAAAAAAGAAATAGAGCCAATCACTGCAAGTTAAAGCCCACTGTGGAACCACTGTTGCAAATAAGGTATTAGAAATTGGAAAGAGTTCAAAAGAAAATAAGATGAAATAGTTATGACTAGAAAATACTGTGAAGGAGCTTGGTACTGAATCACAGGAACCCCTTAATATTCAGGTTTCAAAACTAGCAAATTATAAAAAAAATAAAATACTGACTTTAAAGAAACTTGAAGGAATGTGTACCATTAGTTTGGTTTTTTTTGTTTGTTTGTTTGTTTTTGTTTTTGTTTTTTTTTTTTTTTTTGACAGGCAGAGTGGACAGTGAGAGAGAGAGAGAGAAAGGTCTTCCTTTGCCGTTGGTTCACCCTCCAGTGGCCGCCACGGCCAGCGCGCTGCGGCCGGCACACCGCACTGATCCCATGGCAGGAGCCAGGTACTTCTCCTGGTCTCCCATGGGGTGCAGGGCCCAAGCACTTGGGCCATCCTGCACTGCACTCCCTGGCCACAACAGAGAGCTGGCCTGGAAGAGGGGCAACCGGGACAGAATCCGGCGCCCCAACCGGGACTAGAACCCGGTGTGCCGGCGCCGCAAGGCGGAAGATTAGACTAGTGAGCCGTGGCGCCGGCCTGCACCATTAGTTTTTGAGAACATTCAGTCTATGGTAAAGGAAATGCCTTTAAAGAACTCTTTTAATGTACTTGTGGGAAGTGGGGAGGAGAAACAACTTTGGAAAAGGTGAGCCTGGGTTAAGATACCACCAGCTCTGCACTTGTGAGCTGTGTGATTCTGTGTCTGTTGCTATGTCCCTCGGCCACTTATTAAAAGGAAAAAAACATTATATATGAGATTTTATAAAGATTAAGTGAAATAATGTATGCAAATTATGTTGTGTCTAGCACATGACCAGTTTTCCCTAATTGGTTGCTATTCAATAACAATTATTTAAAAGCTAGTCCTACAGAATATATTAACTGGTTTCATTATTTTAAATGGTTTCAAACAATTTACTCAGATTAGGCAGGTAACACTCATTTTACTTTGATCTATTTCTCTATTAGTGCAGAAATAGAAACAAAAATAAAAGCCATAGGCACTTATTATTAACTATTCTGTGCCTAGAAACTGAGAGGCTCACCCTCATCATGGATTTCATAAGTGATTCTGGAATTAGTAAGAAAAAGAAATGATATGAACAACATGAGATGAGTTTAAGGAAGGGGTTTAATTTATTGACAGTTTTGTTACTTCCTTAGATGTTATGGATTGTGTTTGAGTTATTCATTAAATTCTTCACTTGTTAAAAAAAAGTGTGATGATGAAGTGGAACTGAGAATGACATACACTGTCCAGATAAGCTCTCCTTGTGAACAGTGAACTAGAGGGAGAATAGGAGTCCAAAAAGAGGACTGCACTGCTAGGCGGGAAGATGCGGCCAACACTACAACACTAAACAAAGTTGGTGGAAAATGAAATTCAAAGTTTAATTGTGGTGCACATTAAACAGGGGAACTGTTCTAAAAATGCCTGGTCATGGAGCAGCTCTTCACCCTCCAGAGGAGGTAGAGCACAGATCATTGAGAGGTAGTTTAACTTGAAACTTCTATGAACTGGGGTGGGGAAAGAGACAAAATCAGGGGCAGAGAGGGAGCTCTGGTTGGAGAGAAACCGGAGGGAAGCAGCTGGGTCGCAGATTCTGAGCTCAACAGGTACCAGCTGCTTTTCTGTTGGGAGATGCTGAGTTCAACCTGTGAAACAGAGACAGGCAATGTCACACCCAAGCCAGGGCTTGCCCACGTCCTTCCTAAACAGCCAGGACTGTGGCAAGTGGCATGGTATGTATATGTGTAACACTCACTTCAAAGGGTCTGTAACTTCTCAGCGAACGCCCACATCACTGCTGAAATACAGAAACAAAACAAGGCACTTCAGACACTGGCCTATGGGAAACCTGGAAGTGTACCGCCAGGAAGGGGAAAGGGATCACCTAATCCTGTGACCTTGCAGACAGCTCTGGGATGGACAAAACCACCAATCACCTGTATAACATGTGGGACCGTCTTCTAAACAGAAACAAAATGGACCATTCTTAAACATTGGGTCATATCAAAATCGTTCAGAACTTGTTGAAAAATAAATAATCCAAACAACAGGAGAAACCATACAAGCTACAGCAAGCAGCACTTCTAGAGAAAACATGTGCAGTAGCTCCAAATGTGCTAAAGAAGATCCCTGGGACTCTTTGGCAAAATTCACATGCAGCTGAGATGCTGCATTTTCCCTTGTTCTCACCCTTTGTTGTAAATTAGGGGTGGGGAACTTCTGTCCCATGGGCTGTATCAGGCCAGAAAAATCATTTGGTCCAGCCCTACCAAGGCGACCTAGACTTTACTCAAAATTCAATAAATCTACAGCAAGCTCATTTTTAATTTGATAACTTTTTATGGCCCACGAATGATGTTGTAAGTATCCAAATGTCCCTATTCAGAAAAAAAAGGTTCCCCACCCCTTCTGTAAATGAACAGAAGCATCCAGAGCCAAGCCTCTTTGGTTCTCCCCATAAGAATATGAGTTCTTGTGATGCCAACCACACTTGCAATCCCCCGCTGGCCCACGACCTGACACTTGCACAACTTCTCCCCAGTCTGCTCCAGTCCCAGCCCTAAGCCAGCCCAGGGTTCAACAAACCTAGTTCCTTTCTTAGGTCTTCTATTTCCTTCTGTAGTACGACACACTGGCACAGCAGTTGAGAGACAGAGAAAAAGAGAGAGAGAGAGAGCGAAATGGTGAGTATATATTGGCCTGCTCCCTCCCCATCCATGCCCCCAGCCTTTTCATCTGGCACCTCCCACAGCACAGTGGCCACATTGGCTTGGAATCCTAAATGAAAAGGAGGCACCCTCTCTCCTGTGGTGTGGGACAGTGAGTAGGAGACACAGGAGTCAGTTAAACCTGGACACATATCCCACCACCCAGTTTGGGCTTGCATTTCTAGAAGCCAGAGGCTGTACTACCTTAGGACAGCCCTCTATTCCAGGTGGCAACTGCGGCCTTTCTGTTCTTCGAGGAAGGACAGGTAGCTCCAGATCACCTGAAAGAGAATGCAAAATCAAACTTTCCAATGAGGAAGTGAGGTAGAAAGGGAATGACAGTCTCACCTTCTACTGGCAAAAAGTTGCCCTGCTCTGCTCAGGGACTCCAATCCTCTTTCTGGCCTGCCTTCCCACTAGTGTCACTGGACAGTAGTGACCTAGTGTCAGGCCATGTGCCCCAGTGATTCCCTAGGGTTGTGGCTCTAGGACACACTCTGGGACAGCCACAGGCACAGCCAGCTTCTGGGAGAAGTGACATGACTGTGCAGGACTCAGCAGGAAAGGTTCTGCTTCAGTGACCATCTACTGGTTTTGCAGCTTGGAGTACTAACACAAACCACCCCCACCTCACAAACACCATTCAGAGGATGATGCAGCCTTAGGCCAGCCTGGTTTCCTGGGGGTGAGCTGCCTGGATAGGCAGGAAAGTCTGGGGGCAAGGTTGAATCCCCAGAAATGACAGGTCTGAAGTTGTCCATCTTTAGCCCCTCTCCCCTCCACTTGAATCCAACCCACTGGACTCACCAGAGAGTGCAGGGCTTCTGGGTATGATGTCTCCCCAGCTGGGAGACAAAGGTTGCCAGTTTGCACCAACTGGGTGGTCTCTGGTGTTAGGGTTCCCACTGCTGAATTCTCCACGGTGACTGGACTGGGAAGATGTCCCTGCCATGTGTGCTGGAAGCTAAAACAAAAATTTCTCAGAGTTGCTCCAGGGTGTCAGTGCCAGTGTGGGTTAAATGTGTAGAGCCAGGATGAGATGAGGTCAGGAGCAGGCAAGGGAACTGTAGGCTCATCTCATCAGCTCTTTCTCTCTTCTCAGTCATAGGCCAGGAAGGAGAGTTGAGCCAGGGAGAAAAATATTGGTACTGAGAAGCACACACCCTCTGCCAAGCAGGACTGGGGAGCATCTGAGAGAGAGGAATCAGGAGGCTGAGAAAAGTAAACACCACAGCTCTGCAGCCCAGCCTGCAAGGGAGTCCCCTGATGTATTCAAATCCAGCTGGCAGCCCTGCCTTGTAACCCAAACATGAAGAGTATCAAGAACAGTGCCTGGCACACACCAAGTGCCCTCTAAATGTTTGTCCCTGACCTGAGGATCTCAATTTGGCGTCCTAGTGATGCAAGGCTCCCAATGAGTAGTTCTAAGTAAGGGGCACAGGCAGCAGGCCTAGAAAGGTGTGCTCTCAGTGAGGGGAGGAGGAGAATAAAGGGAGAATAAGAGGGAGAGAAAGAAGAAGGCCTACTCACTTGGGTCTTTGGGACTGGATCTCTGCTTAGGCCACCATCTCCTCTGACCACAGCCTGGAAATCCCTCTTCCTCCTCGTCCCACGTTTCTTCCTAGCACAGCCCTGACTGGACTTTTTGGATCCCCCATGGAGCAGGGAAACCATGCTGGACTTCTCAGGCAGTGAGACTTTAGGGAAGGAGACTGACGCCATGGGAGCTATTGACTCTCTGTGCCCCCACGGAGCAAAAGCTGTCCCAAGGACAACGTTAGTGTCAATCCCTAGGGATTTCTGCTTCTGGACCAACTCCTTCTTGGGAGTGGCATGGGGCAGCCCCCCTGCACCAGAAGCAGCAGCAGCACCAGCACCCAGGCAGCTGGGCCTACCCTCTCCATCACTCTGCATTTTCTTAGAGATAATGGAAGCCACTTCTCGCACCCTCTGTCTTTCCATGGTCCAAGTGAAACCCCAGAGAGTAGAGGTCAACAGACGGACTGAAATGTGAGGGAAATTCTCCCTGCTAAGGAAAATTGAGCATCTGGGGTTCCCTACCAGTGTTTCAGAGCTGCTGCACTTGAACAAGCCCCTTCTTTCCTGGGGAATGCTCACCCGCCTGGGCTGCATTATCCCGAGATCATCGGAGGAGGTAAGGCGGAAAGGCAGCCCCACCAGGCCATCCCTGCAGGCACGCTGGACAATCATGCTAATGCTTAAATGCGATCTGTCTACTCTTCTCTTTCTGCTGTCCCAGATCTGGCCTGTCCCTGAAGCACTCATGTATGGAGGGGCAGCACAAGCCTGGAGTGTTTCCACCGAGCTGGGGTCTAGCATAGCTTTACTGCTCGCATCTGCCTCAAAGCGCACACAAATGGCCCCTGTTTCGGCACAGGTGCTTTCTGCATCTGGAAATCTGCTCAAAGCCCCAGCATCCGGATCGCTGAGCAGCCGCACGATGGCTGCACACGCCTCAGCAACCTGGGACATGGAATCCACAGGGCCCTCCCCGTCAGAAGCAGGAGTGGTAGGCCGGGCTTCACAGCCAGGGAGCACCCCTTCTCCTTCCTGGATCATTCTCAGTTCAGGCTCCGAATCGGAGTCCAACTCCAACGGCAAGTTAAATGTCTGCGGGCTTGAGGGCCCACTCTCCCCTCTGCCTTCACCTTGGTCCTGCTCCTGGCCCTCATCCCTTTCTGGCAGCCCCAAATCCCAGCTTTGCCCAGCTGCCCGCAGGGCTCCGGAGCTCCCACAGACTGTCTGCTCCTCACTCTTCAGGCCGATATCTTCGCTAAAACCAGACGCCTTACTGTGGGAGCTCATGTCTCAAGTCTAGGCAGACCGGACTGAGCGGAAACGGTGGATCTAGCCACAGTCTCTGCGGAGGGAGAGTTGGGAGGCGAGCAGCAGGAGCTGCGACACCCTGCAACGGCCGTTACCGCAAGGGTCGCAGGGAATTTCCTCAAACGACTCAAGGCTTCCGGCACGAATTACAAAGCGTGAGGCGCGCTTCTCATTGGTCAGTCCCAAGCCAATCAGTTAGCTCCATATTGTCCCGCCCCTTCAGGTACCAGCCAATAGGGACAAAGACGCTTGCTCTGAAGCCAAACATAGTGTCTGACATGGAGGTCGCTAGCCAATTAGGTGGTGGGCATCGAGTGTCCAGGCCTCATCCCACCTCTTCCTTTCCAGCTACGTCCGTTCCAACATCGGCTTTCAAAACTCAGCTAGGTCTTGCAGTCACTGTTTCCCCATTATACGGCTTGAAAGTCGATGGGTGGGGTCTGACAGCATCTGAGTCAAGACCATGGGAGAATTAAAGTAACGATGAGTGTGAATCCCTCAGAACAGAAAGGATTTGCAAGCATCCATTCCATCCATGCGAACTTATGTCCCGATATCAAAATAGACAATAATGCCCATCCTCAATGATCCGAGGTTGCCCTATATTTTCCCTAACTGTCCCACATACGAAGTGTTTTAGGATTAAGACGGTACACTCTCTGTCACAACTGCTTCGTCTGAATGCATATTCAAACGTGCTGTTGTCAAGAAGGTGGGATGGACAGTGGAGTTGGGATTCAATCTCTGGGGGTTCTGATGTGGGATGTTGACATCCCAAGTGACATTTTAACTGCTGCACCAAATGCCTTCCTCCCAATTACTTTTTTTAATTTTTTTGACAGGCAGAGTGGACAGTGAGAGAGAGAGACAGAGAGAAAGGTCTTCCTTTGCTGTTGGTTCACCCTCCAATGGCTGCTGCGGCTGGTGCGCTGCGGCCGGCGCACCGCGCTGATCCCATGGCAGGAGCCAGGTGCTTCTCCTGGTCTCCCATGGGGTGCAAGGCCCAAGCACTTGGCCCATCCTCCACTGCACTCCCTGGCCACAGCAGAGAACTGGCCTGGAAGAGGGGCAACCGGGACAGAATCCGGCACCCCGACCAGGACTAGAACCCGGTGTGCCGGCGCCGCAAGGCGGAGGATTAGCCTAGTGAGCCGCGGCGCTGGCCCCAATTACTTATAAAAGCTTTTAAGCCCTTACTTTTGGGTTTTATATTTATCTCCTCAAGAATGGTTTGCCAGTAGTTTGCAAACTGCATTTTGAAAACCACTGTCGAGGCTGGTGCTATGGCATAGCGGGTAAAGCCGCCGCCTACAAAGCTGGCATCCTATATGGGCACCAGTTCGAGTGCTGGCATTCCATATGGGCGCCGGTTCGAGTCCCGGCTGCTACACTTCCGATGCAGCTCTCTGCTATGGTCTGGGAAAGCAATGGAAGATGGCCCAAGTCCTTGGGCCCCTGCACCCACGTGGGAGACATGGAGGAAGCTCCTGGCTCCTGGCTTCGGATCAGCCCAGCTCCAGCCATTGCAGTCATCTGGGGAGTGAACCAGCAGATGAAAGACGTCCCGCTACCTCTCCTTCTCTGTGTAACTCTGACTTTCAAATAAGTAAATAAATCATTGGGAAAAAAAAAAAAAAGAAAATCACTGTCCCCAAATTTTTCAGTGAACAGAAGGATCCATAAATATTAATAGGTGAGATTTAGATGAAATGGTTCAATGCTAGCACATTAAAATAGGCACTGAAATATACTGTAGCTGAGGACTAAATACAACTCTTGTTTAACCTAGAGAAAAAAAATGCCTTGAAGTTGTGAACCCATGGCACTTTGTTGGCCAGCCACTTTGGTAGACAGTTTGCCCACGTCTACCATATATACAAGTGTAGAAAACATAACCCTGCAACTGCATGATTAATTATAAGGTGTTCAAGTCAGATAACTACTAGACAGGGCAGGAGAGAGTGCATTGCACCTTCAGAAGTTCCATTCATGCCCCCTGATAGGGAAAAAAATCATGTGCAAAAGGCTATAAGCAGGCTGATTCTATTTATGACAAGCTGGAAAAGAAAAAAATATAGGGACATAAATCGGGTCTCTCTTTAATAGAATCAGGGGTTCTTAGAAGGGGATACCTACCAGAGGGCTAGAAGGAAATTGTGGGAGTGTTGTAAAATTATCTGCTTTGTGGTGCTGAGTAAATAGCAGTGGGCATGTCATTTTCAAAGAATGGTGTTCAGCTGTAAGTAGAAAATACTAACAACCAGCTAACACAACAGCTTGCAGATGTGTGGAAATTTGCATGACATGACAGCTGTGTTACAAATTACAAAGTACATGAACCTGGAAAGTCTTAAAGCAAACCGAGTGTTGATCAAATAAAATGTTAGGGGTAGGGGCTGGTGCTGTGGCACAGCCAATTAACACCCTGGCCTGAAGCGCCAGCATCTCCTATGGGCACCAGTTTGAGACCCAGCTGCTACACTTCTGATCCAGCTCTCTGCTATGGCCTGGGAAAGCAGTGGAAGATGGCCCAAGACCTTGGGCCCCTGCACCCATGTGGGAGACCCGGAAGAAGCTCCTGGCTCCTGGCTTCAAATCGGTGCTGCTCTGGCCGTTGCGGCCAATTGGGGAGTGAACCAGCAGATGGAAGACCTCTCTCTCTCTCTCTCTCTCTCTCTCTGTGTGTGTGTGTGTGTGTGTGTGTGTGTAACTCAGACCTTCAAATAAATAAATAAATCTTTAAAAAATGTTAGGTGTAGTTAACGTAGCAAAACTAAAACAGATGGAAATAATAAAACTTGTGTGACATCTGTGAAGGTTGTAACCCCATAGTACTTAGCCAATAAGGAACCAGGTGTGTACTGTCACGCCAGGGAGTAGTTTGCTGTAAACTGCATCAGGTGTGCCTTACCACCAGACACTGATCTTGCAAGACTGTGAATTAAGTCTTGCTTTCATTGTACTTCTCAAGCCCAACTCCATCCTTTGAGTAGACAGGTGAGGATATTTCCCAAAAACTTGGGACTTGTCCAGATCTCTGTGCTCCTGTGGACTGGAGGCTCTAGCAGAGGGGGAGATGTGTCCCACTCCATTTCAGGTGGCCTACTCTGTCCAGGCATCCCGTCTCCCTGCAGAAGCCACGGAAAAGCCCAATACTGTTATTCAGAAGATAGTGGAGGTCACACACACATACAGAAAAGCAGGCACTGCAGCAACCAGAAAACCTCATGCACCAGCCAAGGTAGGAAAATTGCACTTTAATTACTGCCTTGGTGGTTAGATATTTTCAGAGTCAAGTGTGTGTCACTCAGACATCCTACATAGCAAGTGAGTGTGGAGTCTCAATCCGCAGTTCCGTTCCCCCACAAGGCAAGCAGCTGGAGAAAGACAAAGTGAATGAGTCTTGCAGTGTGGTATAAACCTCCACTAGCAGTGCAGGGTGCTGATTATGTAGGGGGATCTTGGGGTGTGCAAGAGACCTCCACGGGTGGGGGTTTGAGTACATGGAAAACTCAGACACAGGGACAACTGCTTTAATATGAGAAAAAAAATTCTAGGTCCCTCTGATAGTCCCCCAGAAGGTCCACTGAGGAGCATGTTAAGGCTTTGAGGGGAATGCCTCCTAAGGACAAAGAAAAACAAAATAATGATTACTAGAGTTTTCTTCCCAAACTAAATTCTCAAGTAAACTTTTTTTCTTAAGGTTCCAGCTGAGAAAAAGTAAGAGCTGTTTTAAGTGGCTTATAGATAAAAAAGTGTGCTCATACAAATTAAAAACTATTAAATAAACCCAAAATACCTTTTGGCTCATGTGACTTAAATCTGATAGGTTGTTTTAAATTTGTTGGTAAAAAGAAACTGCGGATGTTTTCAGAGACCTTGATACGTTTGTGCTTAGGTTTCCTGGAAATATAGAAAGATAAGATGAAGTCCAATTTTCTTCTAGAGTTGTTCTTTGGCAAGACCACGCTTAAGATAATAACATGCTTATATTAAATCTGTTCTTTATCTGATTAAATCGCGTTAGTTAAATGACTATATCTTTGACAGGTTTTCTCAATCAAAGTGCTAAATTAAGGCCTTTGGACTTGGTTTTCAGCTGGGCTCCTGGGAATCCTCAAAGGATGTTATACCTGTGTTGTAGAGATTTGACCAGTTACTGTGTAGATGAGGTAATTAAGACAGTAAATGATAATGGTTGAAAAAAATGGTATGGAAGGGGCAAAGATTTTACAATGACATTTTGATAATAAAAGATTTCATACATAGTAGTTTCATTAGAAAAGAAAATAATCTGCTTAGGAGTTGAAGTTTTCATTTTCATGTGTTGTTGTATATATTTATTTCCTGAAGTTCCATCCAGTGTGTACTCCTAGGATTAGTCCAATTTACTGCTGGAATATGGTGGTCTTATTTTTTATATCCTGTAGGATCAATTTGCTAGTGTTTGGTTTCTGATTTCTGCTTGTATACCATCAGTGTGTGCTTGACGTGATTTTTCTCTCTCAAACAGTCCTTGTTAAGACTGGGAATGCAGGTGAGTCAAAGCTCAGAGAGTGAGTTGATGAGATTCTCTTTTTCTTGATCTTCTGCAATAATTCCTTTTTTCTATTTAAAATAAAATTGACAGTAAACTTTTCATAGATATTTATAAAAATACTTATAACAATCAGGCCTCTAACCTGCAAAATTAATTCTCTATTTGCAAAGTGCAATATATGAAAATACAGGAGCAGACTGTTATTGAATGAGAAAACTTAATTTTTCTCACTAAATACAATTAGTTTTCCTGATCATAAACCCATCATCAGTTTTATATAGAATACAGGAAAGTATGTCCAGAGGTAACCAACACTAGTATTTGTCTCTCCATAGAGATTAAGACAACTTAATTCTCAAAAAGCAGAGCTGAGCCTATTAAGTTGATATCTGTTTCAGAAACTCTGGCACAGGATGGAAATAACAGGAATATTCAAGAAGCACAGTGCTTCTGTCATTACTTCAAAAGCTAAAAACTTGCCATAATAAAATAATGCTGTGCCCTATTCCCAGGAATTTTAGGACTTGTTGCACATCCCAAGTCTAGAAAGAGACAA